AACGCGGATGCAATCAAAACTCTAGAAGAAGCCCGATGTATTGCGGAAAATCTTGTGGAAAACGATACGCCAACTGCTATCAAAGGACGATTGTACACATCATTGGCTCTGACCTACAAAAAGTCAACGAAGACTTTTGCAAAAGCAAAAGAATTTGCTGAAAGAGCACTCGAGATGAACGCCAAAATGAGAGGAGTAATAATAACAAAAAAGGAAGTTACGATGCTGAAAGACATTTGCACAAATCAATTTCCATTGAGTCCTACAGAAACTATTTCTAATAGATACTCATCAATGATAATGGTCATTGTCTTGGTTATTGCAATTGTTGTAGCCTATATGCATGGTTTGATATAGCAGCTATTCTGTGTCATCAATCGATTGGTAAATTGCAACTTCATAAGTAACTATCTTTTTAAGTAGTTTCCCGTACTCTAGCTTCAAGGGCTTTGCTTCATGAGCATGTAGCATGTAGCTTTAAAAAAAATTATATAGAAGATTCGTTCCGATATTTAGGGAAATAGTTTGATTTCAATATGTCCGATAAAGATAAAAAAAAAATACCTAATCACTCTGCTTGAAGTTATCATGAAAAAAAATGACCTTAAACCACTACGTCCGAAGAACCAAATTTTACTCTATAGTCGCTATCTCCTGTCGAAACTTTCCTGGCATTTTACTGTCTCTACCTTATCAAAAACGTGGGTTGTCGAAAATGGACTCCGTTACTAACAAGATTATACGAAAATGGCTTGAAATTCCCATATCAGGAACTTTGAGCAATGTGTTCCTTACAAAAAATGAATTCGGTTTAAACATATGCCCTCCATCCATCAAGTTTATATATGAAGAGCCTTAAAAACTTCTCCAAATGATTGCATAAAGTATTTATGGAAATCCACCTCGGACAATGTTAACATACAGTACGACGTGTATAGCTCAACCAACGAAGTCTTAAAATGTTTTAACTCTGAACAACAAGAAAAACTTCAAAATCATCTGCCTCTGTAAAGTGCCTTTTTCTCTAACGTCATGTCAGGCCTTTTGTGGTCCAAAGCTCAGTCAAGTATGCCAAAGCACATCTATAACTTCTCCATTCGCTTCATTAACAACACTCTACCTACACGAAAAAATCTAACAAAGTGGGGAATTTTGTCTAACTCGGATTGCTCTTACTGTTTGAGTCCTGAAGCTCTTATGTATGTGGTTGCTGGATGCCAGTCGTACCTTCCACGATTTACTGGAGACATGATTTAAGCCGGTTTTCCACTAGCGATATTTTATATTATACTATCACTAGTGAAAACAAAAAATCCCTCATATATTTCTTATGTGAACACTGGAGGTCATGTAACTCCTCTTGGTGGAGTTCCATTTCAACTATGTACGTAAAGGCTAATTTCCACTCCGGAAAACGAGCAGCGGATCGGATTGGATCGGAACGAAAGATAATCCGCCCGTGCGCCGTCTGTTGAAATTTTTGGCTCATATTGACCCGAAAGCGTCCCAGACCGGATAAGAAAAAGTTCAAATAGTTTTAACTTTTTTTTATCCGATCCGAAATCACTTCATGGATCGGACCAGCTCGGAAAAAAATCCGATCCGATCCGATCTGCTGCTCGTTTTCCGGAGTGGAAATTAGCCTTAACTGCTAAAGAAAGATGCTGTGTTTTATATCCCTGTGATTCCCCGAACGATAGTGTTACAATTAATGAGGTGTCTTCAGCTATGATTGTTTTGCATAACAAAGCGTGTTTCCACTTCGAAGCATGTGCGTGCTTATGCGCGCACGCAGTGTGAGTTTGGCTGACAAGCGCATGCGTAATTCCTATTAAACAATGGCGGTTCGAATATTTCGAAGCGCGAAAATAGCAAACTTTGGAGGGATTGTTTTCCCAATTGTGCACATGTTTCGCTTGGGGAACAACGGATTCTGATAAAGTACATTTTTATCTATTGATTCATGTAAAAATTATGTAGTTCAACGAGGGGTGCAACGGAATCCGTTTTCTAACCATCTTTTGGATGCTCATCCCACGGCCTAAGGGTGTCTCAAAAAAAACGAAAACTATTGAGATCAATATTGTTAAAATTTGAATGCCCTGTTCACGAATTTTAGCCCGTTGGGATTCAATGCAACTTATAAAATACTAAATAAGAAAAATTTGAAATTGTGGTTATGATTAAAATTAATTTTTATTAGGCCTTGCTATTACTTTGAAAGAAAACGGTACAGCTGACCGCGGAACAACGAGTGCATGTTTATTGTGATATTATCCAAACAGAGTGCTTAGGCATTCAAAATCAAATGGGTGATTTCAATAGTTTTCGGGGATTTTTAGACACCCTGTATAATAACCCTCAAAACTCATTTTATTTCATCTCGACTAAGCGGGATAATGCGACTGATGCGAGATCCTAAAAAAGCTGTCTTGCATAATAGCTTTAAATAGGTTCACATAAACACTTGTTATGTTCTTATTCACATCTTTCAACCAAACATAAAATCCTAAAGCAGACAATAGAGCTGATGATGGATTGAAATCTTAGTGATCCCGGGCAGACATATTTCTTATAAAATGATAACACTCATACACTTACTAATTAATAGACACTTCCCGAATTTGTTCTCGGGCAATGAAAACCATCCCATCATAAACAATAGATTTCATGGCCCGCCTCGTTTCCAAGCTATTGTTTTGTGTGCACTCAAGAAAATTCGGGAAATGTCGATTATCAGGAATATGAGCCGCTTGTCATAACTTATACGTTCAACAATCTGTCACCCTTTAATAATCTGTTTTTTTATTAGTTTCTTACAGTAGTCTTTCTTCGCCATAAATGTCCTTCGCTGTATCCTTCTTCCATCTTCCGTGAAGCCAACCTCGTACCTTGGCACGAAGAGCCTTTCGAATATCGCATTTGTGCTGTTCTTGACGACTTGGGTTATTCTTCCCGCTCTGGGACTGTGTATAAATTGCCTGAATTATATTCTGGCATTACTCGATTTATCTAACGGACTTGGAAATGTCCCTTGGACCATAGAATGCAACCACTCAATAGCTGCACAGCTCGTATTGAGCGATGCTATTGAAATCTGTTTCTCCGAGAGTCTATGAAAATATAATGCGACGGTAACTGGATGGAAAGGTAAATTATATAGTTACAATTCCTGTTTGTTTGCACCGCAACAAAAATCTTGTGACTGAAGTAACTTACGTCATTACATGCACTTGAATCAGCCCTCGATTTATAGCAACGACGTCAAGCAAGACGGTCAATTGTTGGCGAATAATAACTGGAGCTTTCTGGAATGACTCATTCTTCAGCGGAGGCTCATGTGAAACGTGTTTTTAGAAGAGAAAAAAGAAAAAAGTCCAGTGCCTATGAGTGTTAGTTTTGTTGATACATGCAAGGCCATGCATACGCCTGTATTCAAAAAGCTCACTCACACTCATACTCATCGAGTGTGACATATAAATTTCGTTAATGCTGATCACTGAGAAAGTTTTTTCTGAATAGATGGAAAGATATAAGGTAAATCACTGAAAATCAAGCCCCTGTTCGGCTGGAAATACCGCCATTGAAACGTTATGAGAAGATTAAGATCGCCCACTCAATGAGTTTGAGTGTGAGTGAGCTTTTAGAATACAGGCAATAGTCTGCATGCTTCCAAAATTAAATCTTATGGCAGCTATGTTGCGTTTAAACCGTTTTGAGGCAATCAGTGGATTCTGCAGAATTCCTTCCTTAGCGTTGCAGAAATTTTGTTTCGGTAAAACTGTAAGAAGCAACAATAAACTTTTGATAGGTTTTAGTTACAAGTGACCAGTAACTAGCAATGGGCCAGTATGGCGCAGCAAGAGTTGTTTTAGCTCTTTGGCCATATTATGCAAATAATGGAACGCACGAGCGCAAGAGGACCAGCGCAACAAGAGGGACGACTAAGCAATTTTCGTTGCGTAGACTTTGTATGAAAAAATCAACTTCTGCGAAACTTGCATGGGTTCCAAAAAGGGAAAAAGAAACGTCTTATTTAACAGTTTATTAATTTGCTATACAGTTTACTGTATTTCGGCCCACAGCTTGTCCAGATTTTCGAAAAATATATATCAGTTATGCTCCAGTCGTCATGATCTACCAAGCGGCTTAAATAATCTGCCCTTGTATTATCTCCTTTGGATATGCATGCACTGTACGTCAATGCTGACGTTGTAAGCCAAACACAAATGAAATATTTGGAACGCAAGTTCGTGCAAATCTAACCTCATGCTTCTTGTTTTGGCAACACTTTCGACTGCTTTATTGTCAGTTTACCATTTTATATGCGGAGATGATTAAAAGATAATAAATGATTTTAATGAAAATTTGATCGCAGAAAGCTCTGCATCCATACTGCACTCTTAGCACGCACGACTGAGGACCACATTTTATGACAAATTCCGCCTCCATCAAGTTTAATGACCGCGGCGCTTCCCTATATCGCTGGCATCGGAGTATGCGAACTGTTTTTGCAGTCAAGTTAAAAAACAGATTGTAGCTATACTTTGTGTTGCAAACAATAACAACAAATTGACGATAATGAATTGTCTGTGCAATTTATTCAAATTATGTCGTAAATATCCATGTGTTTTACATGCATGCACAATGCTATATACCTCATAGTATAACCAAACGATGGCAAGCCTATTATTATTATGTCACATCTGCATGTATAATATTCATTATGATTAATGTACAAAGTTTATCATGAAACATACACTCAAATATCATATCACTAAAACATACATTCAAATATCAATTTGTAGCTAATGAGGTGTTCAAAAGCTGTTCCTTTAAAGAATTTTTAAAAATTTCACTAGACCGAACCAGTTTAAGTGATATCTATCTGCCCAAAACAATGAAATGTGCAAACAATACTGTTATTATAATATTGCCGGGTGAACAAATTCCAACTGTGGTTCCACTATGTTGTGCTAAAATAATGCTCGCTTCTCAAGCTACTGTACAAGAATAAATCCAAAAGCCGGTGTGTTTTTGTTGTTTAGGTAAGTACAAATGGCCATATTACCGCATGTCGTCATTCTCATTTCGTCATGACACCCAGCTGAGGTACCAAAACCAATGCACGTATCACAAGAAACACAGTCATTTTCATTGTTTGCCATGACACCAATCCGGAGATGAATATAGCTTGAAAAATATCCTGATCCTGAGCCCACTTTGATATTAAATCCTTCTCTGTTACAATTTTCTTGTAAAGCTGAACCATTGATGAGAGATTTCCAGGCTTCCTTCCCGGCACTTGTGCTTTTAAAACTACCTTCTCCGATCACCTTGTATAACGAACTTGCGGCGTAGTCCAGCGCTATCCATCTGGTCTGATTATCGACTTTCATTCCGAGGCAAATCTTGCGGAACGGTGTGTTCCAGTAGGAAGCCAACTTTGTTTGTTTCTCTGTTAAGCCTTCGAGACCATCTTTGATTTTGTAGGCTACCTTGTTGGTCCAATATGAAGAGTTATAGTTGAAATCGTTCTAAAATTGAAATAATATAAAAAGTTATTTCCTGTTAATTAATACTAGTTTTGATGTCTGGCTTATCCGTACTTTTGACGGATTGTTGTAAAGGATATTATCACCTTATTCCCATCAATTTTCATCACCAGGGTCCAGCCTCCTCCTCCACATCCAGATATCGGATTCATGTGACAATAAACATCATATTCGTCGAGCGTGATATTATTTTTTATCTTGTAAACACCATTGATTTGTGAACTAAATAGTTGAGTTATAAAATATGAATAAGAGTAAGATTATAAAATAATACGACTTAGTCATTTCACGCGCAATCTTTGATAAACAAACAGGGTGGTTTAAGCGCATTACAATAATGTCTATTATTTCTTTGGCGTTCTCCCAAGCGCTGGACAAACCTACACTCCTGAAATGGGTAAAACACTCCAATATATAACACGTACGCGCCGATTTTTCGCGAAATATGTTAACAGCATTTGATTGCTGAAGGAATTTCATATTTTTCACAACTGTCAGGCGATTTTTCATGCTTTTATACAAGGTCACAGAAAAAAGTTACGCTATAGAAATCATCCTATTCTCATTGTTTTTATGCCTGAGCGCTATAGTGCTAAATCCACAAATGCAAAGAAATCATGACATCAGTCTCTTAAATTTCAAATTACTCCTTTTACAATGAAAATCTTCTTACAATAAAATCATGCGGGTTCAACTGAAAAAGCGTCAGTGACATAAAAAAGTAGTCCATAACACAGTAGAATTTCATCAAATTCCCTTGTGAGTAAACTCGTGGGCTTAAGTGGGGTTTAAGAGCAATGAGATAATTTCATTATTGTCATTGTTTTTGCATGGGAGACACTGTACATAGGCAGGAGAATAATTGTTGATGATTTGCATTATCGTAGCCAGCTTGGCGATGTAGTCTATGCAATTATGCTAATATTTTGGTTCTCATTGACTGTTGAAACTATGAATTTTTAAAAAAAACGAACATCCATCAATAATTTGAAATTTGCGTTGAACTGTCATTTTAAAAGAAAGACTGCTTGACCTACTTACCACTGTCACGTTCGCACGTACAAACACACGTAAAAGTCAAAAGCTTATAAAAATTATAAGCAGCACTTGAAAAACTACTTGAATAAATCGAAAGAACTTAGTTTACCACATATTTCAGTATGCATTTGTTGACCCATTTGTGAAATAACAACAATTTGGAAGCATATGAAATCTTTTGCACGTAAAAGTTTAAAATCATTTAAATCATACTTATGAAATCAAGGATAGAATAGACGCATGCATAGGGTTGGATTCTTTTGATGATTTGGTGTGTTTTTACTGGCATAAAAATATTTATACAACAATATAAGAAGGTTTCAAGCTTTTACGTGCGTGTACTTACGTACAAAAAACGCGACAGTAGAAAATAGCTCTAACGCATTTAACCTCATCAAGACTTTTAAACCCAAGGCGTAAACTAGAACTTGGAAATTCTCGTACCTGTTCCTTTCTAATATTTCTTTACAAGACACTGCCTTACTGGGCTCTACGAAATAAAACATCAACATTTAAGAAATAGAAAACATTTTGCGTGAATGTTTCTATACAGTTATAGAAATTATAAACACGCGTGGATGTTTAAGCGAACGAGAAATAATCCAAGTGAACGCAATCAATGAATATAACTAACTTTTGTTTTAAAGAAACAGTGTTACTATAGGCAACTACACGATTCCTTTGCGCTATCTTTTACATTCATTTTCATCATGTAGTTAGTGTATAGTATTATTAAACTAATGGAAAGGCTTACTTGTTGATTGTTTTGTCGGAGAGTTTGAGAAGGAAGAATCTACTGCCTATCAACAACAAGACAAATATTGAACTGTATTAAAATTAAACGAGTCTCACATTCATGATAAGCATGTTTCAAACTGCAATTTGACTGTCGTCGATTTTTTCATTATATTAATTTATTTAGCTATACTATAATTTTTCATACCAATATATAAAATTAATAATTGAAATATATCGGCCGCCTAAAAAAGATGTGACTTTTTTTTAGTATTTACACTGCATTTTGTTGTCTTCTCTTGGTATAAGTAACTTAATTGTACAAAATCTTCAGTTCCCATGATTACTGATGATACTCGCGTATATATATATAGTTTGTTTCGTTTTCATGTTTTGTCAAAGTATCCGTCGAACTAAGCAAAGATAAGGTACTGAATGAAAACTTACAAGATGGTTGAATTCAGGGTTTGTTTCCTCATCGACATCGGATGTTTCTTGAGTCTTCCTTTTGTTTAGCTCACACAGGCCTTTACCAATTCCAGACGTTTTATAATTCACAGACGCACACGATTCATGTCCAACACAATGCAAACCGCATTCAAACTCCGAATCTGCTTGTTTTCGTTCGATGACATGATTCGCCAAGAATCGTTTCTCGTGTCTGTGGAAAATGGCTTGTTGAAGTTGCTGAGTTGCTGGTTCGCTGTGTGCTTGCGTCATTTTTGAGACAAGCATGAACGTCAAAATTATTTTTATTTGGTTCGCCATTGCATAAAAGTCTTACGAATATCTCTACATCAAATTGTCACCTTTTATCACAAGCAACTAGTGAGGATAACTTCTGTCAAAGCACAGTGTCAAAGTGAGTTGCGTGCAGCGTATGCATGTTACAGATGTGATTGTGTTGATGAAATTACATAATCGTGTTCCTATTTAGCTTAATTGGATTCATTGACCAGTCAAAATCATGCTTTTCTCTCGTAGCCAAAGCATAACCAAAGCAAAGCCTAATTAATATTTTATTCACCTTGTTTAGCACGTTTTTAGCAGATGTTATATTCAACAGCTATTTAAGTATTTGCCATATCAATTTTCAACACTTTCGATTTTTTTACGTTTTTTTAAAGATAACATATATAAGGATTTAGACTTTTACGTATAAGGATTTAGAATTTTACGTGCGTGTAACTGCGTATTTCTGAAAAAAACGCGTAACTGGAAAGCAGCCTAAAGGCCCAAACAGACCAGACGCGATGCGGCAACGCGAGGCGAATTTTGAGTTTTCAGAAGCATATAAATTAAATTCCGGAAGTAAAATTTGAGGTCGACACAAACCGGACGCGAATTGGCAACGCGGCGCGAACTTTTAACGTTTTTAATTTTTTAAAATCAAATAAATTTTAAACTATCATAATATTCTTGTAGATTACATAACAATGAAACATTTTAACTGCTCTAGCGTCCATAGTTTCTAAATTTTACTTCCAGAATGTAATTTATATGCTTTTGAAAACTCAAATTAAAATTCGCGTCGCGTTGCCGCATCGCGTCCGGTCTGTGTCGACCTTTAAGGTTTCCTCTATTGTAATTAATTTTCATTAAAATCTACTTTCGCGTGTGAAATCTACTTAAGGCGTAAGACATTTTTTGTTTTGAGTATTTTTTTTAAAAAAATAATTGCAATATACGATTAGTTGGATACGATTAGTTGCATACGATTGTTGCATGGAGACTGGCAAATAGAAACGAAAGCTTATGCCACAATTTCGTTTATAACCATATGGTTGTATAAACGCCGCCTGAGAACTCACCGACAAACCGTATACCTCTAATCGTATAGTGAAAATGGCTCTTCACACCTGTTAGATTTAATTAGATTTAGTCGAGCCTAACATAATTATCGTTAATTAGCATTTTTATTACGGTCACGCGAGCACAAAAGGCTCCAATAATCTGCCTATGCTGCTCTGAGTATTTACTATACATATTAAAAACGTGCTCTTGCTCATTCTAATTTGTATTGCAAAGTGTTTCATACCAATCTTGTATAAGTTGTATTAAATCCCCACGGGCTAAAATTCGTCAACATGGCATTCAAATTTTAACAATTGATCACAATAGTTTTCGTTTTCTTCAGGGCTGTCCCAGTAAAACAGGAACCCGCACAATTGATTCTCATGCTATGTTAATATTTTGGTGATCATTGACTGTGAAAACAATGAATTCTAAAGAAATGAATAATCATAAAAACATAAAATAAAATTAATTCGCATTACTTGAAGTATAGCTGACGCAATCATGTTTAAAATATATTATAAAATGCTACGTTTCCATTTCTTAGGAAATTTCCTTAGAAAAGTGCTCCACTATGGGGGAGAGGGTAATTATTAATTGCTTAATTATACATTCTTTTCAAAAGTTCTTTGTTTCTCTCTGCTCACCAATCCCATCCCTGTGCGAGGAAAGCAATATGCAAATAAATTATGGAAGCCTTGGCTAAATTGTGAAATTGTGGATATGATTAAATTTAAATAAGCTTTGTTATTGCTTCGAAAGAAAATGGTAAAGCTGACCGCGGAACAACGAGTGTTTATTGTGACATTATCCCAACAGAGTGCTTAGACATTCAAACTTTAACAATTACATTGTTATGCGTGATTTCAATAGTTTTCAGGTTTCTTTCGACATCCTGTATAATATAACCCTCAAAATTCATTTTCTTTCATCTCGGCTAATTAAGCGGGATCATGCAACTGATGCGAGATCCTAAAAAAGCTGTCTTGCATAATAGCTTTAAATAGGTTCACATAAACACTTACAATGTTCTTATTCACATCTTTCAACCAAACATAAAATATTAAAGCAGAAAATAGAGCTGATGGATTGGAATCTTAGTGATCCCGGGCAGATTTACTTCTTATAAAACACTGACTCGTAGACACTCACTTATTAATAAACACTTCCCAAATTTGTTCTCGGGCAGTGAAAACCATCCCATAAACAATTATAAACAAAAAATTTCCTGGCATGGGAAGTGTGTCTATTCTATATAGAATATGAGAGCCCCTTGT